ACTTTTCATTGAGTAATATTTTTTTTCAATAATGACTAGGTTTCGTATAAAAAACAAGAGGTAAAATTTTCCTTGCTTAAATAAATGAATGAGGCAAAATAATTCTGTTTACTTTTATATTTTTATTTTTGCAACTTTTTTATAGAGTCTGTTAAGCGCTGTGATAAAAAAGCAACGGATAGCGAAACACGGATATATATTGCCTCCTGCCTTAAGTAAGCTCCGTATCGCTTAAATGGAGATAAGCGCAAATCATTTGGCGACGAGTTAGAAGTTCTTGAAGATGGCGAGGAAAATGAAAGAGACGATGACGTCGACTCAACCCAAAGTCATAATAGCAACCTTTAAGAGGAATGAAGTGTTCCACGTTAACCAAAACATTTTCTTCATTCTTATTTTGTAAAATTTTTTAAGTTTAATTTAATTTAGATTAATTATACTTTAGAAAATTGTATTTAAACATCTTTATTTATACTAAAAATTTTGACTACTTTTATACTTATTGTATTCTTTATAAATGCTAAAAAGAGAGGTTTCTAATAATTATATTTTAATTAAATAAAAAACTTTTTTTATACTAAATTTTATATATGCGTATAGTAAAAAAATAATAGTTTAGTAAGCTAAAATTAAGTTTCTATTTTAGTTAATATAGGCAATTATATATAAACTTTAAAAAAGTTTTTTGACGTTGAATCTACGTTGAATTGTAAAGTAACTAAACGTAGATTTTATGACGTTGAATCATTGTTGATATTTCAACGTCGATGACTTGTTTCCAAATCAACGCTTAAATCAACGTTCTTAAATCAACGTCTTTTCAACGTTATAATACAAATTCAATTCCGAGATAACGGAATTCTACTGTATATACTCGTTTTTTTTATAAGCATAACGCTCATAGGCTCAGATTTGGAAAAAAATAAGCATATGTAAGCATATTCCTGAGCCACGATAAGCCAAGGAATTTTACAAATCACCAGTTGAAAAACAAAAAACCACCCTAATTAACCATAAGAAAAAAAATTAAAAATACATACATATTATTATTAAATAGTTGCAGAATCTATATTCATGTGAAGACGAAAAGTTATCTAATTTAACTGGTATTTTAACAAAGTTAAATTATTTAAAAGTAGATAACTTTTTCGTTTCAAAAGTAGAATATCGTCTTCACTTAAATAAATGTTCTCTATTCTTTTCTGAAAAAAAAATGATACCAAAGCATGTATTTAAATTTGTAGTTTTTATAGGTGGGTTTTCATTTTTTGACCTAAAATTGTTTCATGCAATTTTTTGGACGAAGTTTTTCAAAAACAAACTAAATTTTTTTTCCGCAATAAAAAGTCACGTGGCTAAACTCCCTATTTTTATTTATTTAAAAATTTTAAATATATATGCTTCTAAATTTAAACCAACAAAAACCAAAATTTATAACAACATTAACTCAGCTACATTAAAACCAAAACAAAAACACAGAGCATAAGTCAACTTTTTATTTTTCTTATACTCATTAACTTTTAGTAACGTGCACATTTTTAGAAATTATTTAAATAGATATATATTTTATCAGAAATATGCTTCAGCTTAATGATATTTTTGAGCCTCTTTTTAATATTTGCTTAAGCATATTCGAACCTGTTTCGAAAATTTCATATGCTTAAAAAAAAAAAAACGTGTATTTTCCTCCCCATCATTCTTACTTTTACTATACGTAATGAGTTGAAAAAACATCATTATATATATTTATTATGGCACGTTTATTTAAGTTTATTAAGTTTATTTCCGTTAAGAACTTTTTCGTATGTTGCGATGAAAAATACTTTTGTTTCGAAAGAAATTTTTTTTTTTTAATATTTCTAGAAATAAAACCATAAACGTTTGATATGTTGTTATACTGAAAATAAATATTCATTATAAACATCTTGAGATTTAAAAATGTTAATTTTTACAATTAAAATTAATCTGTCAAACAAATTTTCTTTATAGACTTCAAAACGTCGTTTGGCGAAAATGTTTGTTTCGCAAGTGCGACTTCCGAAACCGCTACTTTCGTATGTTGCAAAATAGTTTTATTTCGTATGTCAACTTGCGAAATGCTAAATTTCGGAAGTAGCATTTGCGAAATGAACATCGGTGATTTTAAATGTTTTGCAACATTCGGTACGAAAAAATGTAATTTCTCGTTCTCAATCTACTTACGAAAGAATGTTGTTTTTCCGAAATTGCACGAAACCCTCCGGTTAACAACCTTACTTAAATATATGAATAGAAACCATTTATACTTAAAATTGTAATTTGTACTCGAAGTTTCTATTTGCATTAAGTATCGATTAGCACAAACAACATGTTTAATAACATCGGACGTAAAAACAGCTTAATTGAATGAATTTGTTAATTAATTAATTTATTTTTTACAGCAACGTTTTTTATAAAAAGTATCAAACGGATAAAGCTAATTTATTTAAAATAACAAGTCTCTTAGGCCCGTTTTCTATTTTCCAAATTTTTTTTTTAAATAAATCTTGATGAGAGGGTAAAATCTTGATTATAACTTAAGTTTTCAAAAACATCTTTGGAAATGTTACGCAACAGTCTCTGTTATGTTAAAGATCTATTTATCTATAAAATATTGGAGTACATTAAGTAAATAAGTTCAGTTTCTAAAGTATATAAAGTCAATTGTTAACCAAAAACTTTAAGTCGACTAATTTTTTGCTGTTTACTTAAGGTATAGAGACCTAACTAAGAACAAGTTTGGAAATATGTGGAATAGAGTTGCCGCGACCCGTATCGTACGGGTCACCACAGCTAGTTCTGCAATTAAAAGAGTATAATTGTTATTTATTTCAACAATTATACAAATTTTTTATAATTATATAAATAATTTAAAAGTTTTTTTACAGAAACCCAGTAGGCACCGGACCTAAGACAGACGTGTACAAGACGTGTACAAGACGTTTTAAACGTCTTATTTACGGTCATGCCCACTGGGAAGGCTTTTATATAGTATATCAAACAGATAAAGCTAACTTATTTGATATAACTAGGTCTCTTGGGTCCATTTTTCAATGTCCAAATTCGCTTTTTAAATATATCCTTGTGAGAGAGTTAAATTATTATCAGTTTCACGCAACTGTGTTAAATGCTAAAGATACTTTTATTATGTAGAAATTATTAAAGTAAATAAGTAATTATGTAATAAGTAAAAATAATAATTAGTTCTAAAGAACAGTATATTACAAATCAAGAACTCGAGGTAATCATAAAATGCGAACTGCGTACTTTTTAGCGAACCGAAACATTTTAATGACCACAACAGTCATTATATTAAAAACATTTCCTTGACGATTTTTAAAATATATTAGTATTCGATATATTTTATTTAAATTAGACTTTTCTTTAAAATTAATTATAATTTATCGAGCAATAAAAGTTCGAAAAAATTTTCTTTTACCATCTGGTAGATGGTAAAATGCGAACTTTAATTGTAATTGCAATTAAAATTCGTATCCTAGCCGGCACAACTCGTTAAAAAATTACTAGTTGTTTCTGTTGCGTGTTTAAAACCCCTGAAAACACTAAGAATAACACGTTTCAAAAATAGTTTTGATTCCGTGAAATTAACTACTACCATTTAACAAAATACGTATTAGAATATTAAGTTTTTACTAATGGTTTTAGAATCCACAACGGATTCTAATAAGTAAAGAAAAAGGCAGATAAGGGAGGATAATATAATTCAATAATAAACAAAGCTAGAGCGCCATTATGCTTTCTAGAAACTTAACAAAATAAGAAAAAACGTGCTTGCGCGTAAAGTCAAAAATTGGTTACTAGGACCCAGTCCTTATAAACTAGTTTCTACACTCCCCATCTTAGAAATGGCATCTCTAACAATTGTGTAGTTTCATCTTTATTTCCGTCGTTTTTGCGGACACCCGTTTCTCCTGTAAATCGGCTGGAGGTACAATTCACGGTTGAAGTTCCAGGGGACCCAATCGCTTTACATCACGTTTTAAATTTATAGGATTACCATCTTTTCCAATTACGCGTAGCACAGCCCCTCGAACCTTCCCATCGCTTCCTGTTATTTTTTTGATAACAACACCCTTTTTTCAACGGCTTCGAGGCAATTTATCATCGTCTTTAATAAAAACCGTATCATTTACTTAAATGTTATTTAAAACATCGTATTTCCGACGATTGTAAACGTGGTGTTCTCGAAGTTCATTTAAGTATTCCTTGTAAAATCTCGTTTCAAAATGCTGAATTGAGGTCTTTAAATGTTCAAGTTGCTCCAGTGCACTGATTTTAACTGAGTCTGGATCTTCTGTATTAACTGATCCTACTTGACTAAGAAGCCTTCTGCCAACAGTTAAATGAGATGGAGTCAATGGCTCCACATCGTATCCGTCAGACACATAACACAAAGGTCGGCTGTTTAGAATCATTTCTACTTCTGCTAACTCTGCATTCAGTTGATCAAAGGTCAGCCGGGCTTTCCCCAGTGTTTTCCTTAACGCTCCTTTAACTATACGTATTAATCTCTCATAAAACCATCCCCATCATGGGGAAAGCGGTAAAACAAATTTCCAATTAATAAATTTGGTACATAAAAATCTAGATAGTTCCTTTGATTTGAACGTAGAAAAATTATCGCTAACAAACATCTTTACATAACCCCTTCTTGCAAAAAATCGTTTTAGTGCACAAATAACTGAAGGAACATCCATTCTTGGGGTCAATTCTAGGTGTACATTCCTTGTAGCTGCACATGTAAATAAAATCAAATAAGCTTTGTGTAATGTTGTGGTTTCTGAATATATATCTTTAATGTAAAATGGTCCAGCAAAGTCAACCCCTTTATTGACAAAAGCAAAATCACTGTGTACACGGTACTCTGGAAGAACAGATGGTCCAGGACCTTTAAAGGTTTTACCTTGTACTTTCTTGTACACAATGCAACGCTTTATAAGGGATAAAATTCGTTTTCTTCCTCAAGCAAACCAATACTTTGATCGGATTTCAATTAAGGTACTGTTAATTCCAGCATGGTCTGTTTTTTCATGTGCTCTTAATATTAATAATTTTGTAAACATAGAATCTGTCTGAAGATAGATTGGATGCTTGATACCAAGTTCAACAAGTACATTAGGAAAATGTCCATGTAATCGTAAAACACCATCGCTATCGTTCAAATAAAATTCAAGGATTGACAAATATCTAAAAATGTGTTGAGCTTTTTAGCAATCAATTGTTCAGTTTTTACCCACATAAGCTCAGCATGCAACTGTAACTTGTTACTGTAACCTGTACCTTTGTTTCCTTTTCTTCGGTATAAGAAATTATTTATAATTCGTATCACGTATGATGTTAATAATAAAAGCTTGTTCATTGAACTGTAATCATCTATTGTTAATATCTCATGTAAGTTCACAATTGTTTCAATTGATACACTCTTCACCACAGTGGTATTTTCCAGCTTACTAAAAACAGTATTAACTTCAGATTGATGAAACATGTTTTTGACATCAACCATTCCATTTAAGTTAAGCTTTTGTTTTTTTAGTTCTGAATCGATAGAAATGTTTGTTAACTCATCCTCGTATTGCATTTTGTAGTCCATTCCCCGGGATCCTTTCTTAAGAATTCATGTCCATTTCAATAATCTTTATTTTTAAGCATTGATTTCAAACTATTTTCTCTAGTTGGAGTATCAGCGGGGGTTTACAGTTCCAGAAACAAAATGCCAATCATCAATATTAGATAAACTTCGTATTGAATTAACACGGTTTTCTACCCAACATTTCCATTCCTTATTTACTTCATGAATCCACGATAAACAAATTTTTGATTCACTCCAATAGTGAACTTTTTCAATATGAAGAACACCATTAATTGCATTCTTTACAGAACTTATCAGTTTACTTAACATTGAACAACCCAAGAGTTCAAGTCTTTGAACAGTTTGTCTTTTAAGTGGAGCAACCTTCGCTTTAGCTGTATGTAAGTTTACAACAACCATATCATAAGCTTCAACTAATTCATTAAAACAAAAAGTTTGATCAGTATAAGACTTCAAGCTTCCACTAATTCATTAAAACAAAAACTAAAATCATCTAACTTTGTATCCCAACTTAGTCCTAACACCTTTCGATTTCGCATATTGTTAGTTTGATCAGTATAAGACTTTATAAGATTCATTAATTCTTCTGAGTTAGATGTCCAATTTCCCAATTCGAATCCACCATCCTTTATCACTTTATGAGCTCTTTTAAAAAATTCAAAGGCATCAGCAACATTATTAAATCCAGTTGTAGTATCGTCAACATACAAGTCACAAAGAAACTGTAAAACAAAACTCTCAAATTCTTTAACATAGTTTTTTAAATGTTCTCGTATTGTTGCATTGAGTAGGAAGGGACTACATGTTAATCCAAAAACAACACGTGTAAAGCAAAATATTATTTTCTGTGGACTCTTTGAAATTACATCGTCAAACCAAATAAAACGTAAATAGTCTTGATCTGTGGGACTAATACCAATATTTAAAAATGCTTGTTTGATGTCCGATGTTAAAGCAATCTTGTGAAGTCTAAATCGAACTAATATATTAAATAACAAGGTCGATAAGCAGGAACAAGAATAAAGACAGTCATTTAGTGAGGGATGTTTACCATATTTTGAAGATGCATCAAACACTATCCTCACTTTCGTTGTTTCTTTATCTAAACGTATAACAGCAGTATGTAACATATAATGAATTCTACCTGGCCACCTAGTGTCTGTAACCTTCTGAATGATTCCATCATTTAGGTATTGATTAATAATATCATTATACTTATGTCGAAGTGCTTCATTCTTGTCAAGTCGTCGTTTTAAGGAATCAAGTCTTCTTTCACTATTTGAATAGTTATCTGGAAGAGTTTCATGAAACGGTTTAAACGGTAAGGTTACTACATATCTTTCTCCATCGTGGTAAACTTTGTTTTGAAACTTGTAATAAACTTCATGTTCTTCAACTCCTAAACTTTCAATTTCCAAGAACTTTGTCAAATTCGATTTCAAACTATCATTGTCAATCTGTAAGGCATTCATTTGCACCACATGTGTAGAATAATAATTTGATGCTGTGCAGCTTCTTTTAACAGTCAAGCTTGTTGGGCCACAAATTACTCATCCCAAATTACTTTCTTAGGCAACTGGTCCATTTAAGTCTTTCCTGATTATACGACCTGTCATAAATTTATAATAACTATCCATTCCAACTAAAATGTCAATTTCAAGATTGTTTCCAGCTATATCATTTTCTGCTAAATGTAAGTTTTTAAAAGAAGGATAAGTTTTTAATGACAATTTCAAATCTTGATATTGTAACGGGGAACAAAGGAAAGGTACAAAGAGCTTCAATATAAATATAACCAGATTTTGTTTTTCCAGGCACACAAATATGCACAACATCTAATGTTTTCAAAACTCCTTGATCTGAAGCAAATCTTTTCATTAAAACTGTTTCTTGTCGTAATACTTTAAAATTTAATTTCTTTCTTAATGTTTCAGTACTATATGTTCTCTGACTACAACAATCAAATAATAGTCTTGAAAGTACTTCTTTTTTATCATTCATATTCTTAGTTAAAGCAGTTGCTGTTTGTAACAATATTGTTTGTTGTGAACAATTGACGTGATTTATAATAGTCTTTTTTGGCTTGGAGTCATTGGAGATATTCTTTCTTTCTTATGTATTTACTGGAGGAGTTACATATGCTAACATTATGGTTTCCGTTACATTTCACACATTTATATGATACCTTGCAATTTTTAAAAATTTGTCCTTTTTCTATACAAATGAAACAGCGTCCTTGATTTCTAAGCATATTTTCCTAGTTTCTCTATCAGTGACGCTCAGACATTTACAAGAAAAATGATTTTTGTTACAAAAATAGCAAAGCAAAGATTTTTTTTGTATCTTCCTGAAGTGTCTGAGCAGTAAATTCATTTTGAAAATCAATTTCTTCACTATCTGATATCCCTCCAACTGCAGCACAACGTTCACGAGCACAAAGTTCTTCATTAAAAATTTCAATAAGTTCATTTAGGTTCCAATTTTCATGCTAAAGTTTTCTTGAGATAATTATTTTTAATTCTGTAGGGATTCGATCGAATAAATATTTATAAGCATTGATCCATAAGTTGCAGTTTCCACTCCAAGGTCATTTAAGTTTCTGACACTAGTTTCAAGTTTATCGTACACCATTCGTAGTTTAACCATGCCATATATTGATTTAACCTTTGGTAATTTGAGCAAGTTTTGCAAATTAGTTGAAATTAATACTTGAGTATTTCCAATTCGTTGAGTCAACATATGTATTGCTCTTTCATAATTGCTCGCTGCCAATGTTATTCCAGATATTAATTCGTGGGCACTTCCCTTAAGCAAAGTTTTAAGATAAGTAAATTTCTCAACATCATTTAATGTGTTGTTATCACCGATAGTTGTCTTAAACTGTTCCTAGAATCATCCCCAATTTAAAATCCTTCCATAAAATATCTCTAGTGTAATTTTAGGTAAATTTACATTACTTTGACACGAAGTAATATATGACTTGGATGCAACTTCACCTTTACTTGAAGCTCTTAAAATTTTTTGAGTTCGAGTAATTAATATCTGAATTTCATCCAAAAACTGCGAGCTTTCGATAATTTCAGTATCAATGGCGTCTTCATCATCAATCATAGTCAAAATTTCATTATCCAATGTTTGTATAAGATTTAATTTTAAAGATAAGTTTTCCGAACACGAATTCAACCTTTCTGAATTGTCTTTGAAGTATTCAAGTTCCTCTCCAATTCTAAGAACGTGTTTCCGATGTCCATTTCTGATTCTTTTCTTCTTATTAAAAATTACACTCATTTTAAACAATATTCAATTTAATATTATTCAAGTCGAGGTCAACATTTAAAATTCACAACCATGGCCCTCTTAACTAACAGGACTCGTAAACGAGTAAATCAGAGCCTGGAGCTGGGGGCCATTGAACTTCAAAACTATCTTCGATAACTGCTAGCGACAACAAAATTTTTTTAATATAGTACAATCGTTATCTAGTTTTCAGACAAAAAAATGACTAAAAAATGTTGCGTGACAAACTGTAATGGTAATTACAACAAACAAAATAAAGAAAAAGTTTTCCGGCTTCCTTCTGATAAAGAAGAATCTAATCGTTGGATAAATGTTATTCCACGAGATAATATACCTGAAAGTCCAGATACAGTTGTGTGCAAAAGACACTTTCCATTGGGATATCCAACAGTTATAAAGTTTGGTCATAAAAGGCCACGTGATCCTCCATCAGTTTTTACATGTGTAAAACCTAGTTTGATACCTAGTGTTCCATCGCCATTAAGAACAACCTTTAGAGCTTCTTCATCTGTTCGTAATATATTACCCGATGAACTTGATATGTTTATAGCTGCTGATCAGATTACATGTTTTAAATCATTAAGTTACAAAATAAAGAAATTAATTTTGAAGTTACAAAATAAAGAAATTAATTTTGAATTAGTTGATGTAACTTGGTATTTTGCTGGTGAACATTTGCTAATAATTCAATCAACAGACTTTGAAGAAAACACTTTCATTGCCAGATTTATGCTCAAAATAAAAAATGATCTTTCATTTGAGGGATACTTTTGTGGAATTAAGCATACAATTGCATCTCTATCTGAAAACAGGATTTTCATATTAAATTCTTCCTCGAAGTTACAAGAAGCTATAAATTTTCTAAATAACCTAACAAAAAGCATTAAACTTATTAATCTTTTACAATACATCAGTGACATGAGCCCAATTAGTATTGGGAAAAAAAAGTACAGTACAGAAACTATTGTAAGATCATTTGAATACTTTGCAATTTCGAGATCGTTATATGGAAGGTTAAGGGAAGATTATGAACTTCCAAGTATTTCCCTATTAACAAAGCTAACTTCTAAACTGGATTCTGCAATGAACGACACAGAGTTTTTTAAATCAGTTAATTCTAAGCTTGAAAATGAAATGCAAAAAAATTGTATGGTTTTTATTGACGAAGTTATATGTCAAATCATCTCTTACTTATCATGCTGGCTCAGTCTTTGGTAAAGCGGTAAATAAACCAGAGTCTTTAGCAACTACTGTTTTAAGTTTTATGATAGTATCACTTTACGGAGGACCACAATATCTTTGCAGAATTTTACCAGTCTGAAAGCTTGATTCTAAATTTCTGTTTGAACAAACTCAATTTGTTTTAATGGGAAAAAAGAGTGCAGGAGGAATACCGGTAGCCTTAATATGCGACAATAACCGTGTAAATCAAGCACTATTTAAAATGTTTGATTGTGTTGAGCCATGGTTAACTAAAGACAATATTTTCTTGTTATATGACTTTGTCCATCTTCTTAAATCTGTCCGGAATAACTGGGTTACAGAAAAAAGTCAAAAGCTATGTTATGAACATTAAGGGAAAACTAAATATGCATGCTGGTCTAATATCTTAAGTTTGTTCGGGCTTGAAGAAAATAAAATCGTAAAATTGTCTAAACTTAAAAGTGTCTGTTGCACCAAAACCTATTGAAAGACAAAAGGTGTCTACTTGCTTGCAAGTCTTTTGTGATGAAACTGCAACTGCTTTAAAATCCAACAGTAACATAAAAGAAGCAGAAGGCACCATTACTTTACTTGAAAATATTTGTGAAATTCTGGAAAATTGTTAATACAAAAGGACTGTATGGTGATATTCGATATAAAGATCCAGATAGAGCAGTTATATCAACTTCAGGAGATGCTAGACTGACATTTTTACTTAGTCTTGCAACAATGGCAGAACAAATGAGCAGCAAACAGCGCAAACAAGACTTTCAAAGTACACAATTTCTATGTATTCTATATATTTTATGTGTTATACAATTCTGTATTTAAGATAATTTAGTTTCCACGTTTTGTCAGGGTGTAAGCCAGCCTAATAGCACGGCAGAATTCCAAATTATAACATTCTAATTAAAATTCTGAAAATACAATGACTAATACAAACTCCCAATATTTCTTTCAATAATAACAATGTAACTTACAACAAATTTTATTCAGCATTAAAATTTTGTTCAGCATTATAACTCTGAATAAAATTTGTTCCTGCCTAACGCCCTGTCTATATAAATAGTTATTTTAAAATCAAATTTGAAAAATAATGTTTTTGTTAGAGGAAGCGAGAATGCTCCAATATTCTATCTATGCTTCATCGAATGACCTTTCTTTGCCAACGTTAACAGCAAAAAAATTTAGTAATATATTGTTGCTATTTAATTTACTTATTTGTCAATTAATTGTTCATATTTAAAAATTATTATATAATTGTTAAATTAGTTAAAATGTTTAATTACTTTAGAAGATACAAAAATGAGTCAACAATATGATAATCATGTAATAAGCCAAAGCCAGAAAGATGTCTTGGATAGTCTATCTGATAGCAGAAATGATACTCTATTTGTAGACAAAGATAAGAATATATTAGCAAAACAGATTTGTGAAATATACATTATTACAGGTGAGATGTGTTCATTAGGATTTTCAGATTACCTGCGTTTGAGTATATTTATAGTTTTACATCCATGTTGTGTGGGTTAGATGGTTCTCCATAAAGACATATAAATGCCACAATGATAGAGTTCTGGATGTTAACATGAAGCTGACACTGCATTATATGTTGCCAGTAGCAGGATAACCTGACAGAGTAAATATATATATATATATATATATATATATATATATATATATATATATATATATATATATATATATATATATATATATATGTATGTATATATATATATATATATATTTATATATATATACATACATATATTTATATATATATATATATATATATATATATATATATATATATATATATATATCTATCTATCTATATATATATATATTTATATATATATATATATATATATATATATATATATATATATATATATATACATACATATATTTATATTATATTTATATACTTATATTATATATATATATATATATTATATTATATATATATATA